ATGAAAAGATGTACAATATTAATCATCAGGGAAATGTAAGTCAAAACCACAGTAAGATACCACTTCACTCACACTAGTATGGCTTAATAATAATATTTAAAAAGACAGTAGCAATTATTGGCAAAGATGTGGAGAAATTGGAACACTGAATATTGCTGATGGGGTTGTAAAATCAGCATCCACTTTGAATAATAGTTTGTCAGCTCCTCAGAAAGTTAAGCAGAGTTATCATGTGACCCAGCAGTTCCATTCCTAGGTGTATATCCAAGAGAAATGAAAACTCTTTAACACAAAAATTTATGTGAATGATTATAGCAGTATTTTTCATACAAGTGAAAAGTGGAAACAACCTGAATGTCTAACCATCGATGAATGGTATATTCATACTAGGGAATATTACTCAACAATAAAAAAATGAAGTACTAACAGGATAAAACATGAGTGAACCTTGAAAACATAATAATTGAAAGAAACTTGTCACAAGCATGTCTATTTACATTTATGTGAAATGTCCATAATAATAGGTCTATGGAGAGAGAAAGTGAACAACACCAGGACTGGGGCTCTGGAGAAACATTTGGGGAAATGGGGAGTGACTGCTAATTGGTACATGGTTTCTTTTGGGGGGGATAAAAGTGCTCTAAATAGCCTGTGGTTATGGTTGTACAACTCTTTAAACTAACTGTATGCTATAAATTGATGAATTTTATGGAATGTTTCCTATATTTCTTATTTTTTACCTCAAGCTACAGGGGAAATAAAAACAGTCCTTGAGTGGAAGATAGTGAGAATGTGCCAAGAACCAAAGGTTATAATTAATTCATAATCAGATTCCTTATATCTGAAGTCTAATAAAATTTTTAAATTTGGGGGAAAAAACTTCTTTTTTCTTTTCTTTCTTTCCTTCAAAAGAAAAGAGAAGGGCTGGGATTGTGGCTCAGCTGTAGAGCACTTGCCTAGCATGTGCAAGGCTCTGGGTTTGATCCTCAGCGCTACATAAAATAAATAAGTAAAATAAAGGTATTGTGTCCAACTACCACTAAAAAATAAATATTTAAAAAAAAAGAAAAGAAAAGCAGGGACCTACAGGATGAAGTCTGAGGTTCTTGTTTTATCATTTAAAGCTATACTTCATTTGGCCTGATGCTACTCTTCATTCATACGGAAAATTCTTGTCACCTACCTGTACAAGCCCCAGAGCAGTCATACCCAGAGCAGTCTCTTTATGGTTCTTTGAACTTAGCAAGCTAGTTCTAAGTGTCCTTCCCTGCTTATATTCCCTTGGCCCTCCCCTCCATATAGCATTCCATTTCCACTTTCTGCCCTGCCTCTCCAGATCCTGGCCACGCAACTAAGTTCTATCTCCTTTTTGACTTATGTGCCAAAATTAAATCTGTTATGCTATTGGTTCTTCATAGGAACTAACACATTGCTTCACCCATAAGAAGTGTTCTATAAACTCAAGTTCAATAAATAAGTGAAGGAAAATAAGGAAATATTTGAGAGATTTGTAAAAGAGAAATGGAGAATAAGAAATTCTAGTAAATAAAAAAAATGAAAGATATAAATAAAAGCAATTTCAGAGACAAAATGTGAATGGAAATGCGATTTTCCAAGTCCAAGGTAACGCTTCAAACTTAGTTCTAAAGCTTTTCTTTACTTGCTTCTTTGGTATTCTGATGTAAGCTAGTGAGACTACTTCTTCAATTCTTTTTTTCTCATTACTTTTAATTTTAGTTTTGAGAATTTTCTCTTCCATGTTTGGTGATGCATCATATTTATTTTTCAGTTGTCTAACTAAAAGCAGCAAAAATCATCATAATTCTGTTCCACATCTTATCTGTTACCCACCTACCCCGTCTCACTTCTACTTCTTACCACATAACCCTAGCATTCCCCTAGTACTTTACCAAATCTAAAGGAGACTAGTTTGGGTTTTAGCTCCTTTTTTTTTTCCCCCTGCTAGTTCTCTTAAAATGTCTAGCAAAATGTCCCCAAAGGCAAGCCACTAAGAGAATAGAAAGGAGGCATTCTCCTTCTCTAGTTGTTCAGTTCCTGAAATGTCAATTGGAAGGAACTGAACTTTCAAAATGAGTTCCAGAGTTAGTATATGTTAATAGTTTCACATTTCTCCTGTATGGATAATTTAAACTTTTAGAAAATAAAGTATAACTGAATAGGCAGTGAACTAGCCAGAATTTTAGTTTACAAGATGCATAGCAACAGTGAAGATTAATGTGAAGTACTTGTAAAGAGCTGCTGAAGGGAAGATAAGATAACAGTATGCTTTCTAGGAAACTTCAATTTATAATAATATGCACATGTAAAAGCGAAGCTGGGCCAGATCCTATAGGTTTGGTACATTAAAGAAAGAATTGGGACACTCAGGCTGCCTTTGTTAGCATCTGCTTTCCCAGTATGTTACATACAGCCAAATAGCTGGCTTCACCAGCTAGACCCAATGACCAAATGCAAGATTTCAGTAAGGATCAACAACAGGAACAAATTCTGATGACTTGCTCTTATTTCTATTATATACCAAACAAGATCTTCTACTCTTGGAAACCTTATAAGAGGTCTTCTATAATCACTCCAAGTATTGTTCTTACTCCTAACTCTAAGGCTTTGTATTTAAGCAAAATTTGCCCTAACAAAGCACTGAGGAGAAAGCCTTCCACATGGTATTTTCTGCTGAGAATCAATTAATGCTTCATACAGGAAGTAATATTTGACTGGGCCTTGAAAATGAATGATATCTTAAAGGTGGAAAAGAAAGGAAAGGCACGGCACAGAAAGGAAATAGCTAAGAAAGGCATGTAAACACAGGACGGGAGTAGTCTAGTAATGCTAGTATGGCTGGGGATAAGTTGGAAAGGTGGGAAGGGACTGGAATTGGAAGGATCTTATATTACCAAGCCGAGAGATGAAGACCTTCTGCAAGCAGAAGGGAGCCACCAAGGGTTTTTGAGCAAGGAAGTAACAGGTCTGATTTGTGTAACATTCCCTATGTTGTGAATAGTTGGCTTCTTGGGAAATGAAACGATGTTTGGTAATAAGCGTGGCATCAGTTTAGGCCACAGGTGAGAAGAGTATGAAATACAATGGTGGGAACTGGATTGTGACTCAGTGGTAGAGCACTTACCTAGCACATTCGAGGCCCTGGATTCAATCCTCAGCACCACATAAAAATAAATAAATAAATAAACAAACAAATAAAAATAAAGGTAGGGGCTGGGGCTGTAGCGCAGCGGTAAAGCGCCTGCCTCACTCATGTGAGGGCCTGGGTTCAATCCTCAGAAGCACATAAAAATAAATAAATAAAGATGTTGTATCCATCTACAATTAAAAAAAATAAAAAATAAAGGTATTATGTATATCTATAACCAAAAAAGAAAGAAAGAAAGAAAGAAAGAAAGAAAGAAAGAAAGAAAGAAAGAGAAAGATGATAGGACTGGAAAGAGAAAGCAGGAGACAGACCAGACATGCTTATGGTGCAGAAGCAGCTCAAAATGGGAAATGAAATGAAGAAAGGAATTCAAGGTGACTCCAGTGTTCCTATAATAGAGATGGTGATGCCATTAATGAGGCCTTACTGGAGGAGCAGCACTGGAAGAACAAACTTGATTTTGGAAAATGGTGGGTTTCTAGTGTTTCTTTCCAAGCAGGAATTAGAAGTTTAATGCCAGGAACTAAAATCTGGTTCCAGGACCAGAAATGTAAATTTGGGGAATTATAATCAAACAAATGATAATGGAAGCTGTGGGAGAAGAAGAGTTAAGAAAATATGGAGCAAGGAAAGACAGTCAGAACCAGCAAATGCTTATGAGGAAGTACCTTCTACAGAAGGTAGAAGAAAGGATAGCAAACAGTGAAAGGAAGCAGAGTTATCAACAGAGGAGTACAGCCAGGAAAGGGAGCAACAAGATCCAGGGACTAGGTGGATGTCTGTCCTTTAGTATTGCTGTGGCTGCAGGGAGCACGCATGGTAAGCCTGAGGCAGGAGGCAGTTCCCACCGGAAGTGAGGATGAGGGAGTTCTAGCCTGTCATAGGGACTTGTTCATAAATAAAACTGTATTTCGGTGACTCTATCCTTTGGCCTGACATCCTTGCTCATTTTCTTATTATTTCTCCTAAAGATCCAACCCCTTCTACCTCCCATTCGCTTCTTCTTAAAATAGTAAGAAGGAGAGAAAGCAAAATGGGGCGAAAGTATTGAAACACAAAGAGAATTGAAGTTAAAATGTTCAGGTGTTCTTGGTTCACTTTATAAATAAGCTAAATATTCCTTTTTTAGCCCCCCACAGTACTGGAACTGAACCTAGGGGCACTTTACAACAGAGCTACAGTCCCAGCACTCCCCCACTTTTTTAAAATTTTGAGGCAGAATCTGGTTGAGTTGCTGAGGGTTTTGTTAAGTTGCTGAGGCTGACCTCAAGTTTGTGATCTGCCTGTCTCAGCCTACTGAGTTGCTAGAATTAACAGGAGTCCGCCACCATGCCCAATATATTCTTCATCTTGCATAAGCCTCCTTAACAATGATAACATCACTTTGTGTAATTTTAAGTGGTCATAATTTGTGCTTGTGTTTGTCATAAGAAATAAAAATAATAAGAATTTTTGGTCCAACTGAGGAGGCTTCATGTATTTTGATTTTGAAGCAGTCTAAACATCAATGTTCCGTTTTATTTTTATTCTTAAAGGGATAAGTACCACCTACCCCACTCTGCCTAGGTTTATGAAGGGATCAGTGTTGTTGTTGTTGACATAAACCAGTCATTCTTACTTTAGTTAACCAGGTACCTTTTACATTCCAGCTTGTCTATATTTCTATTTCACTATTTTATTTTTAAGTTTCAAGTGATTGTTTATGTAGTTTGTAAATGTTCTCTTTTTTCATTTGATATTCACACTTAATCATCTGGGGACCTTTGCACTGGTGACTAGAGACTAGTGTTTGCTGGGTTGTGATGACATGAATTGTGTCCATTTGCCTTTCTAGATTTTGGCTTCAGTAACCTCTTCACTCCTGGGCAGCTACTGAAGACCTGGTGTGGCAGCCCTCCCTACGCTGCACCAGAACTCTTTGAAGGAAAGGAGTATGATGGGCCTAAAGTGGACATCTGGGTAAGTAACTGCCTTCTCTTCAACCCCATCCACCCCATCACTGGGTGGCACTGTCCTCATCCTGGAGGACACATAATTCTGCATGTGAATGAAGAGCATGGTCACCTGTTCTTCAATTCCCATTCTTCAGCAGTCTTCTGTCTAATATTCATCTTATGGGCTGAACATTAGTTTCAAACTACCCCTTGGAATCTGCAAAAGAGCCCCAAGGGCCAGTGTGGATGGGCACCCTTGTCAAAAACAGTGATTCTTTCTGTTGTTGCTTTGCCTTATCCCTAGAAGATAAGCACTGAGAAAAGTTTGGGATATGACCCCAAATACAGGTCTGGAAGCAAAGAAGAATGTTAACTATTCTGAAGGTGGTTGGTCTTGACAATGCCCCATATTATCTGTCATAAAAACAGAAAAAGTTTGTTGGATAATCTTGTGTGACTCATCATCATCTTAACACACATACCAAAATGGCCTCTTTTTTATTTCCTCTGATGCTATTAATTGTACATACTCTCTGTTTGGGATGCAGAGTCTTGGAGTTGTCCTCTATGTGCTTGTGTGCGGTGCCCTGCCATTTGATGGGAGCACACTGCAGAATCTGCGGGCCCGGGTGCTGAGTGGAAAGTTCCGCATCCCATTTTTTATGTCCACAGGTAAGGGAGCTGCCAATACACAGCTGTGACTTGGGTTCATGGAAAGTCAGACATGCCAAGTTATTCCAGGAATTTAGTGATGGAGTATAAATGGCCCATTTAACAACCTTTCTTAGTTCCAGTTTCTTTCCTGGTGCTTCCAAGAGGCAAGGTTTGGTAGGAACAGAGTAATATCTACATCAGCACCAGATAGCCCTGCCTGTGTTTGAATCTGAACTTTACACATTACTAAGTCTGTCTGAGCTTTAGTTTCTGCATCTATAAATTGGCTGAGAGTTTTGGGAGGGGTATTACTATAAGGATTATATGAGATAATGTATATAAAGGTCAGTAGGCAATACAATAAATATTCTTGTTACACCTCCGTCCTCCCACCGCATCCCCTTTTCATTATAACATAGGGTTTCCATTTGTTAGAGCCCCATTGCAATATGTGTGTGTGTTTTTTTAAGTATATTTTTTAGTTTTTGATGGACATTTATTTTATTTATTTATACGCAGTGCTAAAAATTGAACCCAGTGTCTCACACATGCTAGGCAAATGCTATACCACTGAGCCACAACCCCAGCCTACAGTGTGGTTTTATTTTATTTTTTTGGCACCAGGGATTGAACTCAAGCGCACTCAACCACTGAGCTGCATCCCCAGCCCTATTTTGTATTTTATTTAGAGACAGGGTCTCACTGAGTTGTTTAGCACCTCACTGTTGCTGAGGCTGGTTTGGAACTTGCAATCCTCCTGCCTCAGCCTCCCGAGCAGCTGGGATTACAGGCGTGCACCATGGCACCCAACTCCGCAATGTGGTTTTAAATGCTAAGGATAAAGCATGCTTTGCATCCTAATCTTCTACTACTTCATTTCCTACTTCTATAATATTCGTACTCCAGACTCTCATAAAAAAAATGTTTTTTAAATGAGTGGGCAGTAGGGTAAGTAGCTTTTGGAAAAATTTGACATTGGAAACAGATACCAGATACCCAGAATCTAATTTTTTTTCTCCATCTATATGCATATAAGAGAATATTTTAGAGATAATATAGAAAGTAGTGTACTTTGCTTAATCATCTGTTTTCATTTTAAGGAAGAACATATGTCGCCTGGGTTGGCAGCAAAGTATAAGCACATGGGAATTGCATTTTAGAATAAGTAGGTGAAACATGAACTAGATTTAACTTTAAGTTGCCTTAGAATGCATGACTTAGTAGTATATTAGACAATGATAAATTCTGTGAGAAAAATGAAATAGAGGAGTGCAGGATGGTGGGTGGGAGGTCATTTGAAAAGATATGGTGGGGAAAAGTAAATATTGAAAGAAAGTGAGGGCTTAAGCTATGACGTCTGCAGAAGAGAGTCCCTGGCTGAGGGATTTGCAGGTGCACTGGCCCCAGTGGAGGGAACATGCCTGAGTATTTGAGTAACAGGAAGCAGGTCTGTGTGCTCTAAAGGAAAGGGGGACAGCCAGGAGGCAGAAGAGACCAGAGAGGTAAGATGGAGCTGAATTTTACCATTTAGTTAAAGACTATGCTTTTTATTCTGAGTGAAATGCAAACAGTTGGGGGATTTTGACAGAGGAATGATGTAATCTGACCTGTTTTTTCCTTTAGATTGTATTATGAAATTTTTCAGACATACAAAAAAGTTGAAAGAATTTTACAGAGACTTTTTAAAAATATTTTTTAGTTGTAGATGGACACAATATCTTTATTTATTTATTTATTTATTTATTTATTTATTTATTTATTTTTTGTGGTGCTGAGGATTGAACTCATGTGCAAGGCAAGCGCTCTGCCACTGAGCTATAGCCCCAGCCCAGCTACAGCCCCAGCCCTACAGTGACCTTTTTATTTTTTTATTTACTTCTTTATTCTGCAATGCTGGGGATTGAACCAGGGCTCTGCACACACTAGGCAAATGCTGAATCCCTAAGCTATATCCCAACCCTTAGAGTGACTTTAAAAATATTATTGCTGTGGATGCTATATTTCTAGTAGGCCAAACGGTACAATGGCAGAAGGAAAGAGACCAATTAGAAGGAAACTTAAAATAATTCAGATGACAATTATTGGTGGCTAGTTCTGAGACTGCGGTATAACATGGGAAAAAGATAACACATGGTCACTATTATATTATAATGTGATACAATAATACTATCCACCATTATAGTTTCATACAGAGTGGCAGGCACTGTTTTAGACGTACCAAGTTTGATGTGCCTGTTAGACATCTAAATTGAGATATTACATAGCAGTTAAATTTGGGAGAGTTGTAGACTAGTATATTTGGGAATCATCAATGTATAGATGGTTTATAAGAGTGGCTAGTGAGGAAAGCCAAGGTCAGCTTATCTTAAAAAAAGCCAAATGAAGATAATGGAGAAGGGACTGAGGAGCCATGGGGAGTGGTGCTGCCAAGTGAAGCAAGAGGACTGGAGCAAGTGTTGGATTTAGATGCGCGGAGGCTGTTGATCTTGAAGTAGTTTTGGCGGAGCTGTAGGAACAAAAGGCTCAGAGAAGAGGATGGAAGGGAATGGAGTAAGGAAGTAGTCATCTCTCTCTCCAGTTTTAATAAAAAGGAAGAAGAGGTGTTCCAGGAGATTGCTCTGGCCAGGGTCATCAATGATCTTGTCTTCAATCAACTGCCTGTCTTGAGTTTTATCTTACTGCCCTCCCAACAGTTTTTAGTGCTTCACCATTCCTTACCCTTTAAAATGGATTTTATATTTTAGAGCACTTTTAGGTTCACACAAAAACTGAACAGAAGGTATGGAGTTTCCATATACCCTTCTGTGCCTACCCCCGACACTTCCCTTCAACCAACATCTTCAAGTACTGTGGTAGCTTTGTTACATCTGATGGACGTACTCTGATGCAGAATTATTGTCTACAGTCCATAGTGTACATTAGGGTTCATTGAATGTGGCATTTGCTGTGGGTTTTGACAAATGCATAATGACATGTGTTCACCAGTATAGTACCATACAGAATAGTTTTGCTGCCCTAAAAATCCTCTTGGCTCTGCCTATTCATCTCCCATTTCCCTCACCATCACTTATTCTTTTATTGTCTCTTTTCCAGAATGCCACATATTTGGAAACATCACAGTATGTAGCATTTTCAGATTGGCTTCTTTCACTTAGTAACATGCACATTAGTTTCATCCATGTCTTTTTATGGCTAGATATCTCATGTCCTTTTAGTGCTGAATAATAGTTCAATGTCTAGGTGAACCATAGTTTATCCTTTTACCTTGTTGCTTCCAAGTTTTGATAATTATGAATGAATTTGCTGTAACATCCTTGTGCAGGTTTTTGTAGGGACATAAATTTTCAGCTCATTTGGGTAAATACCAAGGAGCTTGGTTATGGGGCCATATGGTATATGGTTAGTTTTGTAATAATCTGACAAACTGTCTTCCAAAGTAGCTGTACCATTTTTCGGAGAATGAGAGTTCTTATTGCTTATATCCTCACCAGCTTTGGTGGTATTAGCATTTTGGATTTTGTCCACTCTGATAGATATATATTGATATCTCATTGTTTGGGGTTTTGTTTTATTTTTGTTTATTTTGTTTAGTCTTGCACATGCTAGGCAATTGCTCTATCATGTCCGCCCACCCCATCCTCTCTTTTATATTTCAAGACAGTCTTGCTAAGTTTCCCAGGCTCACCTTGACCTCGGTATCCTCCTGCCTCAGTCTCCCCCATTGATTCTTACTTGCCATCTGCCTGTCTTTGGTAAAGTGTCTCTTTAGGACTTTTGCCACTTTTTTTTTTTAAAAAAATATTGCTTTGTTGTCCATGTTGGTCTCAAACTTTTGGGCCCAAGAAATCCTTCTGCCTCAGCCCCCTGTGCAGTTGGGATTGCCCACTTTTTATATGGGTTTTTTACTTCATTTTTAAGTCAGGTAAAGACCTTCTGAAACACTTTTTTCTCATTGCTTCCAAGTTACCACATTCTCCAGTTGTGGGGTTCTTGACAAACATTGCAGAAATGACTTTAATTAGCTAATTTATTTTAGCTCTTAAGACAGATATTTATTTCAGAGAGCAAGGCACACATTCAAGGAAGAATGTGGGTCATCTCAAGAGTGAGAGATACTTTTAGGGTTCTCAGACTCTTCTTTTAAAGGAAACTTGGTCATGGTATCTGCTGGTCACAGGAAAGTCTGTGGTGACCTGGTCATTCTCAGGTTCCTTAGGGTGATATGGTCTCCATTATCTGATCAGTAAATATAATTGGCACTTACCCTAAATTATAGGTTGCTTAAAACATAGTATCTCTTTTTGTTTTATTTATTACATAGGCTAATTAATAGTGCACAAAGTAATGTTTCTAAGTGAGTGAATTTATGGTAACTCTAAAATTTATAAATTTCCTAGAAATTTGGGAGTGACAGGCCTGGAAAATAACTAATTTGGGGAGTGATGACAGGACTGGGAGGAGAGGTCTTTGGACCGTGAGCATGAGGCTTTTTTTTTTTTTTAGTTGTGGATAAACAATAACTGTATTTTATTTATTTACTTATTACGTGGTGCTTAGGACCAAAACCAGTACCTCACACGTGCAAGGCAAGTGTTCTACCACTGAGCCACAACCCCAGCCCTGTATAAGACTTTTAAAGTTCCATTTTCCTTGGTTTTTCTTTTGTTTCCTTCTTACTTTTATTTTTTTCTGTACTTCCTCAGTACAATCTCTCTTGCCTAAATTCAGCTCTGTGGATTTCTGGCTCTAGTCTTGTCCTTTTGTAATCCTTTCTCCACATTGCTGCATGAGTAATCCTTTCAAAATACAAATATAAAAACAAAACATGCTGGACACTCACAAATCTGATCATACCATTTTCCACTTAAAACATTTCACTGGTTTCCGTTGCCCTAATGTGCTAATATGTCTAAAGCACTGACTTTTAAACATTTTTACTATGGTCATAATAAAAACATATCTTCTCTGGTGACCTAGAACATACATATGTGCATACAAATGAACAAAAGTATTTTTAA